CACCCTCCTGAATGATGCAGCAGCCACTCTGCACCAGCAGCCCCACTGCACAGCACTTCAAATCACTACTCCAGTTAAATTCAAGATGCTAATCAGACTGACGGAGGTAGAAGTATGTGCTAATGACATGTCTCAGCAATATAAGCATTCAGTCCACTGTGACTTGGATTGTTGTCTTTATTACAAGGACCCCAGCTAGTTCATTCCACAGGAGCAATATACTATGATAGACTATGAACTAATTTACAACCGTACTTAGGTGAGAGATCCAATGTTTGCTGCACATTATCAGAAATGTTGTCAAACACATCAGAAGTGGCAAACCATTATATTCAAGGCATTGTACAAGAGAAGCTTTTTGCACCACTTTTGTAGTAAAATGCACTGCTTTACATTTCAAAAGTATGTTTCTTAAGGATCAAGCCAAAATCCACTTCATCACATTCTCCGTTTAGCCTCCACGTTCCATGACTGTAAGGTCTACTGCTCGTAGCTCGTGTGTTGAGCAGAACTGGTGTTTTCACTTTGGTGCTTTTAATTATGGCCAGTGCAAGGCATTAATGACCCAGACCCCTGGTGATAATAGGAAGTGATAACATTTCGGTTAAACCATTAGCAATGAAAAACCTAAAACACCCGATGTCCATTCGTTTTCCAACAGTATATTCTACTAGAAAGTTTACTGTCCAGTAATATTATACCCATTGTTGTGTGGTTGATTAGAAATACAACACAGAACTTCACTGAACTGGTCGTTAACTGCAAATGTGCGAAAAAAAGTTAAATTCAATTTTTTAGCTCTGAAACAATCCCACAGTTGCAATAGGAGAGCGGAAGAAATAGGTACAGTAGTATTAGAAAGGGAAATCGACTGAGCGATTGTTCTCTCAGGATTCTCTTTTTAATCTCCATCACTGAAACTACTGGGATAGAGACTCAGATTCTGGTACACCCATCCTGATGCAATGAGGAATCAGAAATGACTTTATTTCCCAGGAGACATACTTCAGCAATTCCTGTGACAAGTTTTCCATTGTGAGTGTTGCACTCCTTTTGCTGTCAGTCTCACTTTTTAGCTTGAAACCGTAACCCTACAGTTTTATATGTTTCGATTGTGATGAAAATGCACTGTATCTGTAAAAGAAAAATAAATACAGGGTTTGTGCCACAGACAGTGCTAGAAACAGACAGCCAGAGTGTAAAACAAAATGACAAAAGGTTGCAGTAACAACTTCTTTCCACTGGTGGCGGTATAGAGTTTGTAAGAGCTTGTCATTAATTTATATACCGGTATTATCTCCAAAGCATGGAAAATGCTGACGATGTGTTTATGCTCATGTTCTTTGAATTACTTACGGAAAGGTGAATAGCTTCTGAAACCCCAAAAGCAATCATTTTAAAGCAGCAGTACTCTAAATTCAGAGCAAGTTTAATAACCTCTACAAAACCTGTATAATTTACACATTATATAGATATGTTGAATAAATATGTTGAAATCAGAAATGCAGAAAATTGCAAGTTACTTCCTGCCTTAATCTAATTAGTCCTTACATGAACATGACTGTCCTAGAAATCAAACAATTAAAATCAATACATTTTATATCATCACATGAAATTACTCAACTTAATTGTGATTGGTTCCTAGTCTTCAATGTTATTAACCATTTATGTTGTCTTGATTAAGCAACGTGCCAGAAAGCACAATTACATTACATTGTACATTAATCATTCAAAGCAATATAAATAATTCAAAGCTAGGATAATATCAATTACAGCCTTACCTGGCACTGATCATTTGTGCTGCTATGTTTATGTATGTTTGAATATACTTGTATGCACATTGTATATACACTGTACAGTATATAAAGGGAGGTGCAATTTCCCACATGCCCTGAAACTGCACATTTCCACTGCAGCTCAGGAAAGAAGAAAGATTAGGCTATCAATCTGCTATACTCATATTGTCACCTGCAAGAAAATCTGTGCTGAGAAGGAGATACTGAACCATACAGGGTGTAAACCAAATTATTCCCTGCAGTGATATCATCATTTATTATTAGTCTTTGATGTTTGAAGCCATTAACCAGGAGAATAGCAATTTTTGAATAGTGTGTGTGTTTGTGGAGCTATAGAGAAATTAATTGCAATAGTCTATTCCTGTGTACAGCATTATGAATCATTGACAAGCTTTCATTTACTGTCTACTGCTATTTAATAGTTGCCGAAGCTTTAACCGTAAAATGTATTCATCTGAATTGCTAAAACTGCCTATAAAGAATGAGACGTGATCTGACTGATTATCAATTAAAGCTGTTCAGTAAAGTAAACATGAACAGACTCTAAATATGTTTCTCTGCTGGTAATGTCATTTGGTGTCACGAACTGATAGCTTCATTCACAAACATTTTCTGCTTCCAAGTATTTATTTCATATTAGGAGCAGTACCGCACTGCAGGAGCATGCCTTCCATTCCCCGGTGTCACTGTGTCAGTGTCTGATGTCTTACATCTGCTGGGTGATTGATGGTGCCTTGAATACACATACCATTACCCTCTCACTAGCTCAAATCAAACCGCTTAATGACTACATCACTTTATAATACTAGCCTCAAAGTTAAATATATTTACTGCCAGCCAGGCACAACACAAAAACCAGAAGACAACAATCAAAAACCGGAATGAACATTTCCGCGCTGTTGTGACTGCGTTAGTTATTTCTACAGTAATTACCTTGCGACTTTAGCACTATTTAAAACCCTGTGTTACGCTCCACAATACTGCTTTTAGGTCATTTCACTGGGCTTCCATTTGTTAGCATGTGTGCACATACAGTACATCTTACTGGGAAAACGACCTGTCCTGAAATGTAACGATTATGTATTTATTGATTTATGGGTATCCGTTTGCCTAGTATCTGGTTGGTTCACTTTACTATCAATTTCAAAACGAACACAAAGGGTACTGGAGTCCAATTTCACATTTCTATTTTTAAACACGAGTTGTACAGTTTACGTTTTACCCGGGTAAACATGCTTCCCTCCATAATCAAATAACCGTCCGAATCAATTTGAACATAAAGCTATTACCTGTTTATACCCAAAGAAAGAAAATGTAATTATGTCTTACATAATGCATCAGTGAATCTAAATAATGAGTGTTTTATACATTGTTTGGACTCAATTATAACTTCATATTGCTTCGTTATAGCACAAAAACTGGCATTTCTTTGTCTAACCTCTTTCATTTCCTCGTTACGCCTACTCAACTCAATTATAACATTTTAGTCACATTCTCTCTTCGCATGCTTCATCCTGCCGGCCCTCCCCCTAAAACCCCCTTTAATCTATATGTAATTAATGGCATTCTTATGTTTTGATCGTATACACACTTTTGAAATGCCACATGACGCGATCATTGATTTCATGGTGAATAAAAACAACACTGTTGTGCAACGTTATTTCCCCGTTTAGAATTTAATCAGTTTCTTTGAAACGCACTTGTTTAATAGAGCTTTACAGTGTCAGCGATCCTCGTGACTTCAGATCAAACATTGCATAACGTATAAAAATAACCGGCGTAAGCGCCATATCCTGCAATTTATTCAACATTTTCCAACTTTCATATGCTAAAACATCAACACGGTTCCTTTAAATCATCTGAAGGGAAAAAAAAATCGCCCCGGGGTATTGCTAAAGTTGCCACATCGTAATGTAATACTTAAACAAAGACTTATTTAAAACCAAATTATATTTTATCGTCAGACGCTTGGGTAGTATTTAGTCTTGTATTTTAACTTTTTTTTTTGCTATATTGACCGCGCTTGTTCTTTTGTAGCTGTTTCTAGACCTTTACATCATAATCTCGTTTGCCAAACCATAAAAATGCCCAAAGGCGGCTTAGGAACAATAAACCTGCATTTAGATAGTGTTATTATCTAAAAATGTTAATACCCATTGATCCTGTTTTGCTTTCACGAGTTATTCATGCGCTTTAACCTAATTGCAAAAGGCCAGCGTATGCTTTTAGGTTGATGTAATTAACACAAAGCACTTTTAAACATTATGAACCGCAGTTTCACCGACCCATAATGCTACCTAAAAGGGACTGTACGCACAGCTTAAAACGTCATTTCTATTTATTTTCCTAGCGCAGTCTATATACAGGCATTCGCTGCCTGTCACGCTCGTTAAATATTCATGTTCATAAGCATAATGGCAGCAGTTCGCCGTTGTCTGTTGTTGTTTCCATATCTCATGATGCCTGTCTATGCTGTGCATTTATTGCCTTCTCCCCACGCCGCCCGCTCCCTGTCGCTACTATACAGCCCTATCTCCATAAGCAAGCATGATCAATACTCTACAGTCATATTACAAAGAAGCTAACTGATTAGGGTACGCAGTAACGCCCCGGTACTATAAAACGTTCATATCCAAAAACTACTGCACACAAGTCAAACTCTAATCTAATACAGTACACGCATTCGAGAAAATAGGAAGAGCGCCCCTCAATCTCTGCAGGAAATGTTCTTTCTATTATACATATACAGACGTCCTCGCCACAGGTCCTGCTAGACACATATCACGATAATGATGCAATAAGGTCTCGCAAAGTCAAATATTCCAAATAATTAATACTTGCGGGCGCTCGGCGTAATTCAAACCCACGTTTCTTTCTTTTGACAGCAAAACCTGACGCGTTAAGAAGGGCTCGAATTTTAAAACACGAATACTACGAGCAGATATCTGCCGGATCCCGGCGGCACATCTGCCATTTAGAATTTAAAAGCGAGCGATTCGGGGGCGGAAATGTTAAAAATTTAAGGCATTCTAAACTAAACTAAGTGGGAAAATATTAGGGACCATTTTCATACATTTTGTGGCGGTTGGTTTCACAGCGTGCGAGTTTAATATTGGGAGCTTTGCCGGCGTCGGACGATTATGGACTTTTCCCTTCCAGGACCGTTCGCAATCCATTCAAGCCAACAAGTTTGGAGAGAATGTTGAGTTTAATCAATTCAGAACGTCGAGATGGAGCCCAACTCACTCAAGGTATTATTATCTACTCTCCTTGTGTTTGATTTTACTATCATTTTGGGGGCGCAAATGTGGAGCTTTCGCATCCATGTACATAGACTACTAATTTCTGAACATCTGAAATGAATACTGTAAACTTTTAATACAAACTTTAAATGTTAGGATTTCTAAAAATATGCATTTTTTAGAAAAAAACCCTCCAATAGATCAAATTGATGTTTAATATGCCGGCCGTATTAATGATTATTTAATGACCATGAATGTACTAATTTATTGATGAAATCATTGACTTGTTATTATTCTGGTTATTTCCGCAGTGGGTAGGCTCACCTTGCGGTTTGCACGGACCGTACGTTTTCTACAAGGCTTTTAAATTTCACCTTGAAGGCAAACCAAGAATTCTGTCCCTTGGCGACTTTTTCTTTGTAAGATGTAAGCCAGGGGATCCCATTTGCATAGCAGAGCTACAGCTGTTGTGGGAAGAAAGGACGACCAAGCAACTTTTATCCAGCTCCAAACTTTATTTTCTCCCAGAAGATACTCCCCAGGGAAGGACTGTCCGTCACGGAGAGGTGATTACAAATATTTTCTTGTTGTTATCGGTTTCCCTAAAGTTCGCCTCAACCTCATGGCTCGCATTGCATTGAGAAAAAAAATAACACAGAAGCGTTAGTGAAATATGACCTATAAGTATCTATTCTCCTTTCTATTTGCAGTGACGCACGGCAGTACCGCACGTAGCATATTTACTTTCATTTAGGATTTAGGTGGACTTATCAGTTAAATCATATTGAAAGCTGTCTTTAAGGCGTGAAACGTGCGTAGAATGAATCAAAATTCACTTCATCCTAAATATTGTTTGCTTGTTGGCAGTGTGGGGTTTAGACTGTCTTTTGTAGCAGGGGACTGGCAGATTAAAAATAGCACCTTTTGATTATGTTTAGCGACCGATCTATCTCGACACTGTACTGTAAAGTTATTGTGTTCTTTTTTTTCATGTTTAATATCAGCGGTGTGTAAAATAGGGCGGAAATTACGAAATGGAGGCAAAGAGAGAGATCAAAAGCGATCTGGCTGGCAGAGGCGTATTGAATAAGGTTATAAATGACAGGTAGTACAATCATAAATTCAAATCACTAGCTAGATGTGCCTGGGCGTATTTTTAAACAGACGTGTAGCTAACTAGCACAAACACGTTAAAGAGTGAGCAAAACATTCGCGCTTTAATCCATAATATATGATCTGTCAGTTTTAATTTACAGCTGAGAATGTTTTACCATGCAATCACTAAGGCTGAAATTATATAGCCTCAGACAAGAAGTATTGTAAGCGGACATTTTCTCCGCAATCGTTGAACTGCTTTCGGTCAGTAGCAATTGATTAATAATAATAGCAAGCCGATAACGCAGTCAGATGCGATGCCTTAAAGGGAGAGTGACATTTATGAAGGTTATTATGTCAGAGCGCTTCATTTTCATTTTTGGTTCCCGATATGCATGCTTGTTTGTGTTGCTGAAGAGAAAAAAAAAATGTTAATGCGTTTTCTACACGATTGTTTAACCATATAATAGCTGGTGTGGTGAATGTACAGTATCTCTATTATTTGGATTTTTGAACTCTTTTCGTTTGATCACACAGGAATCAGATTCATGCATGTGCGCTCTCAACTGATCATTTATTTTTATAAAGCCTTTTTTATTTCAATCTGGGGATCAGGTGAAAACAGTTAAAGGTTACAAACACGTAACGTAATGTGAAGTGAAACTTGTGTCGTCTTGTCCTGGCAGTGTAAACACGTTACGATGTCAGCTTTCCAAAGAAAAAGGCTCTTGTGTGCTGAGCGTTTAATGTGCTTGTTTTCTCTTAAGGAGTTGACTATCGGATTTCCATTTCTTAATGTGCAACAGGTTTCCTTTGTGTCTGTACAGAACTATCAGATTTTAAATTCACAAAATATGTGCTTATGCGAGGAGTGAGTTGTTCACAGTTGTTTGTTTAAGCCATCTTTCTGACTGACATTTGAACAGTAAATACAATGTAACTGGTTAGAGTGGAGGAAAATGTAAGAGACTTGACCTCCCATTTACTCAGATGATCCATTCCGTTCTCTATTTAACTTTTCATCTGTTCCCTCTGGTTCCCCTCCCCCACACAGCAGAAAAGCGAATTATTTGCTTTTCAAATTTATTTCGTTTACATGATTGCTGATCTGGAAATGAGGTAGGCTATCCGTCCAAGGACATTGCTCGACATTATATATGCTTAACCTAATTAAGAGGATAAAAAAGGCAAAGCGCTGCATCGTTGATGAATGAGAACTTGTCGCAAAGAATTACGTTAAGATTTCTGCATTACAGAAATGGTGTTCTTTTATATTTTAACCGTTTTGTTAATTTCACACCTCTTCTGATTCAGCACATTTGCTCTCTATTCCATGCCCCCTAGTAAACATTATCGTACGTTGTGTGCATATGTGAAGTTTTATCCGAACCTTAGATTTTAAAGGGCTTTGGAAATTAGTAGCATATGGTAAATTTAAATAATAATGTGATTTTTGGAGCAGTCCCTTACTTGTGGTAACCTGATCTCTAATCCTACTGCCAGTCACACTCCAATACTCAAATTGAATCTGTTCTTAATATACTGAGACCTAATCAATAATGTGAAACTTAATGATTTGCTGAGGAGTTGGACCAAGTCTCTGTCATGTATGACTACCAAATTTGAGATTCTGTTTCCTGCCCTTGTCAGTAGAGTGTTTGCTAGGAATTTGGTGACATAATATTCTAAACGGCTCTCATCTTTCAGTTTACTCTTTTTCTCCTCTGGTATCCACCTTCTGGTTTGTGATGACTCCTATTGGTCACAATACACCTTTCTCCTAGGACTTGTCTTGAAGGACAAAGTTTTTTTTCCTCCTTCAGTTAATTATTAGCTTTCAGTTTAGGCACTTCACCCAGAAACTATCTGCCCTAGTATTTTTTTGAAACCTTATCCTTCTATAAGACAGTGTGTAAATCAAGGAACTGTAATAGTCTTTAATATGCTAATTTAACATGTGCTCAGTAAACAGTTATGAGCCCTGTGATAAAAGCAGGTAGTATGTTTCCAGATGCTTTTTTTTTTGTTGTTGTACGCCCAGGTGATGTAATTTCCCCTCTGGCTTGAGTTAGTCATTCATTAGCAGAATAGCAGCAGCAGAAATGGCAACAAGCTCCCAGTGATCTGGTTCTGGCAGAAGGCCTATAGAATCTAACACTTTAGAGCTTAAACCTAGAGAGGGCAACATTACACTCTCATTAAGACATGTGCTGTTTTTACTTTGTTGAAGTGACTGTATCTTCTTTTCGAGGTCAGCGCCTGCCAAAACTCACAAGCATTGAACTACTTGCTGCCTGACTTAGAAAGCAGACAGACATGAACTGTCTTCAGCTTCGGGCTTGCTGGCAGCATGTAACTTGAATTTTATTGATGTTCATTTACAGCATCACATCAGCACTGTTATTATAACTATTAGTAGTGTTGGTATTATTATTATCATCAAGATTATATATTTTCCACTAACCTCTTATAATACTTTAATGCTTTCAGAAAAGCTCAAAGATCATGGGGTATGTGTTTTTCTAGTCATATTACACTAGACTAGACTATTATTATTAAGGACTAGCAATTCCTTTATTAATAATAATTAGTTTACTTTTAATTTATCTTAATTGCCTTGTCACATCACGCTGATTGTTGATTTATTTTTATTTGTAATACAAATGGTACAATTGAATCAAGATAATTTTCACATTTAAATGACATAAGATGTAGCTAGTCATTGGTTTTCATAGACTAAATATATATGTACACAGTAGCTGGAGGATTAAAAATGTCTAAATGGGTTTCCAAAAATGGTAGTGCAGGTTTAATAACTAGGGCTAAGATGGTGCAATAACAACCTACATTTTACAAATAAAGAAAAAATAGGTTCAGAAGAGACTGTACAGTTTCTGGAAGTTTTGGTCTTGCTTGAAACACTTATCCTGAAAATAGCTGGATGTGGAACAACAATTGAGCAGTATCTAATTAGTTTTCTGTTCTGTGCTATTTTTTGAATTACAAAGCAGTGTGGTTTGAGACTTGTGACTTGAACATTATTATTGCAGAAGAATTCAATGGCACGAGTCCAAAGATCCCTCTGCTGTTTTGGCAGAAGCCCATGTTTGTATTTAAGGGTGCCCGGGATATATTTATAGTTCAAATGAGATAACCTGTTTTTGTGTTTTTAAAGTTAACATTCTTTAAAATGGAATATTGAGCAGTTCAGATTCAAAGACACTGCTTGAGACATGCTGTTCCTGCATACAGTACACAAATGCCACATGGGGTCTGATTTATTTCATATGGGCTGTGTATGCATCACACCACATGACACAAGTCTCAAATAATGGCAGGAATCCTAAGGACTAAAACAAATCGCTCTATCACTCCAGTAAATTAGTGTGAAAATCTGTCTCGCAAGAATGAGTGTAAATTATTTACAGATTTTGACCTTTGGCCATATGATCATCATTGCTTATTTTCATTGTAGCTATGTAACACAAGAAATACCATGATACATTACGTATCACTTGCAGCTCTCATTAATTCCTTCAAGATGATTGCTTATTATGTTGTTTATTGACTTGAAAGATGAATTTGCATAAATATTAACATTAATTAAAGTTACTAAGTTAAGCCAAAGAATGTAATACAAGATAGTGACACATCTGAGTTTATAGAACATTGTCGTCTATTACTTTGCCTTAGAATGTCTTTGACAAATTGAAGTCAGAACATTATGAAAAGGTCTATCAGTGTCTCAGGGGTTTGGTACAAGTTAGTACATTTTGTGTGTAGAATCTGTAGTTGATTTGGCTGTTTGGGTGTATTCAATTATAAGTTAAGAAAATTACTTATGTAACTTTGTAACTTTACGAAAAAGACTACTTCTTTTTATGTTGGGCACATTTTTCATGTTACCAGGTCAATAATTCCATAGACATGCAAGCAGGTGTACAAATGTGCTCTGACCTGGGGAATTCTTGCACTGACCTCTAGGAGCAGTGAAGTGAAACATTCTCAGCAGGACACAGTTTATGGGCTAGCTGCTTTACTGCTGAGTTCTAGCCAGATAATACTTAAATTCCTCTTAATATGTAATAATAAGTTGCAGAGTTTTCCTTATAACCCAGTGCGTAACCTGAGAACCTTACCCAAATGGCATCAATTATGTAAAAATAATTAATGAATTATTTATCATGTAAATTAAAAATGGAAAACAAATCAGTACTAACATTGAGAGGAAAACAAACATTTTCCAAATATACCCATAGCACAGCAGCTCTGCAGCACATAGAACATTAGTTTACTATGTTACGAATTGGATTAACAACTTTTGACCCATTTAGTTGTGTAGCAGCATGTAAACAGAATGCTTTAGAGGGTAGATGGTCCTGTGAGGTTAGGACTAACATTTTCTTCTACCAGATCATTGTATCCATTGCTTTTACCGTCTCTGAACACCAGGCTTTAATGGGCCAAAGAAGAGGATTGACTTGATAGTGATATTGTGCTTTCTTTAGAAGAAAGATTTTCATTGTTACTGTATACTACATTGTTTCCTGTGATGGAATTATTATAGCAATTGCACGTATATGTTCTCTTTAATTACACCCATATCATCCCATAAACACATGCGAATGATCTGAAATTACTGTTTTCTTTTGTTTCCCAGAACATTTGGAAAATACTACTTTTTGCTTTTCTTTTTTAAAGGGTGTTTGTTGTAGTACAGAGAGTCTCATTTGAGTGAATGAGAACTGCTTTCATGATTTACTGCACTTCGGCTGAAAGACAGAAACAAAAACCTTGACATGTCTTTAATAAAATCTTTAAATGGGCCTTTTCAAAGATTTTGACAAGGACTTCTCAAGAAACTTTAATTGGAAATGTTTTGTTAATTATTTCTTTTAAATCTAAAGGCCTTTTCAAGCTGCATTACTAGACATGTTTTTTGTATTAAATTAGACCGGCGTTGTAATTAGAAACAGTAAAAATATAAGGGAGGGACCTGGAGTGTGGATTTATATTAACTCCGTAATTTCAGACACTTTTGCTTTTAGCAGTAATTTCATGAAATCATTATACCTAACTCAAAACATTGATTTTCATTTTTTAAACTTAAAAAATAATCCACTTACATCATATTGTAATCTTTACAAGAATTTATTTCTTAAGCTTGGGGCTTAAGACTGAAAGCCAAAATTATGTTTTTTAAATGAGAAAACTATTTAATACACAGTCATCTCTCATTATAATGCAATGGTATTAAAGCCTAAGAGTATTTTTTAATGAGGTAGAATCTTTGCTAATGACTAGAGGCACGGTAGTTTTACAGCTGTTACTGAGTTTAAAATATCTGCTGTTGAGGATTGCTAAACTGCAAACCTAGATTATTCAATGATTAGAAAATATGAATTAAAAAAAATCAACTTTACAGAGCAGCATGTTATTAAATGTTCTGATACTAGATACAGTATAAGAAATAGAATGGGAATTGTTCAGTATCCTAGTAAGTAGTGTGTGTAAATTTAATCAGCCTGAAAACCTGTAATCCACATTCTAGTTAAACCTTAACCTTTTACAGAACCTTCTTCAACAATGTTTGCCTTGCATTTCATAATGTCAGTGAAGGGGTTTATCCCCAAAGATAAAAAGGAGAGTGGGATTGTGATCCACATCAAAGGTATTGATGTGATCTGTTGCTACTCAGACTGTTGAAAACTTTACAGTTTAGTTTTAAAAGATTAAAACATCTGCTTTCCAGATACACAAGCTTAACAGCAATCTTTTGTGATTCTAGCTTGGTTGACAACAGGTTTCTGGTTTACACACACGAGAATGCTCAAAAAGTTTAAACTGACCTTACTGTACTAATAGGTTTTAGGCCTCTAACACAAAAGTGTATTTTAAAATTTGTTGTGTTCTATAAAACATCTGCTTTAGTACTGAAGAATAAGAGTAGCAATGTAAATTTCCTTCATTTTATTTTTAATTTAAGTGTTTAGTAATCCTAGATTATGCAAACATCCATAACTAACTGTTCATTAGGCCATTGGGTGTTGTCCTTGTAAATTACAATAATTTGCGTTCTGCTGAAGTAATTGTATCACCATATAGTATTTGCATTGCTTCTAGGCCATCAATCATGAAACCTCAAGCATGCTTGTCCTTTTAAAAAAGGAGCCAATTTAAGAAATACGTGGGAATGTCGTTCAGATGAACCTATGTGTTAAACAAACCTTATGTTTATTTAATGCTGTGTCTGTTCCTCACAGGATGAGATTATTGCGGCCTCGGAGAAAGTCATCGTGAAGTTGGACAACCTTGTGAAATGGACCAGTTCCGATTTCTCAGAATGGAGCTGCGGTCTCAAAGCGGTGCCATTAAAGCCATCTATTCAGAAGGAGCTGGGTAGGATTGGACAGAGAGAAGCCTTGCAAAAATACAGAGAGTCAACACTCAACAGCGGTCTCAACTTCAAAGATGTCTTGAAGGAAAAGGCAGAACTGGGTAATTTCTGTTTATTGAACATTGTTATTTTCTGTACTGAAACAATTTAGCAATGTTTTCACCCGCATTAGGTAATTTTGCTATGCTAACCTGTCTGTGTAGAATAATATGGGAGATTGTGCTGTGCCTGTGCAGTATACTGCAACTTGCGTTGCCCTTTTGCACTCTTTTTTCATTCTGAGCGTGAAGTGACAAAAAGAGTGAGAGCACCTGCATCATGAGAAATATGCACTCTTGTGATTGCACACGGATAGGTGATGTTTGCTCCCACAAAATGATTCACAGGCTTGTCCATCTCTGTAGAAGAAATGTGAAAAGTGAACCAGTAGACACAAATAGAAAGAAAGGGGAATTGCCTTTAAGACTTAGACCGTGTCTTTACACCAAGGGTTGTGGGAGTAGGTTGTAGAACCCCAAATGGGCTAGATTGTCTTTCTCTTTTTGCTTATCTAGCAGCCCGACATCAATGGGGGGTATTCAGGGTATAGTTGTCCACCATCACTAGACTTTACCTGCACTTTCAGCTGATGTGAAACTCTTGTGATCAACACGGACTCAGATATTCATACGTAACAAACTTGGCTGGATCAACTGATGGGCCATGTCTGCACAACAACATCTGGGCACCGTGACAATTACAGTCAATTTACCCAATTACAGTCACTGGCCAATGGCTAGTTTCTGATGTATGTGCTGCACCACCAGGCTGCATGACTGTAGGTGGCACATGTACATGAACAGCTCTCCCCTTGTCACGTAGGCTGTCATTGTTGATGTAAACCTGACTGATCATCTCTGGGGCAAATAATGTTGCTAATCTGCCAGCAGCAATGCAGATTGACTGGAGGAACAAACCTTTGTTCCAATTGCAATATCTCTACAGTCTTTGTTGCACAGTGTGTGTGTGTGTGTGTGTGTGTGTGTGTGTGTGTGGGAGCTACCAGTGATTGGCGATAATTGTGTATAAACAAATTAGATGAAATACAGTAATTGCTTGGTTTGTCTGTGATTCATACTAGTTTTTGAACCAAACTATAAATTAATTATAATCAACCATGGCAGACTATAAAAATAAATAATTATTAGGGTGTGATCAGTAATGGCTAACACTGAAGTGGGGAACTGGAAACATTGAATGCTGTTGTGTGTTTTAAATCACAATTGAGCATTGTAGTTGACAATTACTAGAAAACATCCTGGAATGTGAAGAAACCGCATTCAACTTTGATTTCTTATGAAGAAAGGTAGATTAAATGACGCAGTGAAAGGTTATGGTTATATTTATTTTACTGTAGTTAAGGGTGTAGTTTAGAACTATATAACATGTATTTATACTTCTCTTTAACATGCCACTATTCTTGCAGAGTCCTTCGTAGTTCAGTGTAAAAGCAGCAGTGTAAGTTTTATTGGCTTATAAATGTCATTTTTTGGACTGCATTTCTATGCAGCAGATATCTGTTTGAAACCAGGAAAATGTTCCACTACAGGTTGATTTTCAAAAGCTTGTAACTGTCATCCTACAATTATATCAGCAGAACACATTGTGTTTTTTGCTGGGAGAAATATAGAGCTCTGTCTGAGCTCCATAGCATTTTATGGTATTTATGATGCTGAGGGAAGACAAGTTTGTAATTTTGCTCTTTACCAGACATCTAGACATTTGCTCTTTAGACTAGATGCAGATAAATAATCACACAATGTATGTACCCCATATCATGTTCTGTGGAAATTTTTTATCTATATTTATCTAGTAATTGATTGTTCTCTTATTTTCCTTTCCCAGGCACTGCTATGTGCAGTCACTGCTTTGTTTCAGTCCGTGGAACCAAATGTTGTTATATTGCCCTTGAATCGTGTCTTTTATTAGATTCTTATATAGAGATTAGATGGGGGAAATCAATAATAGATGTTTTGTCAGTTACTTAGAAGTACAGCTGCGTAAAGGATCAATAGTGGAAAAGAGCAAGTGTGTTAATGGATTTATTTATTGTCAGATCTATAACCTTATTATTTGTGTATATATGTTTTTGTAATGTTAATGAGTTGTTCTTTAATGACTATATCAGCCTGTTTGTGTTGTCAGGGAACTAAATGCAGTTACTCAAAATGCCTCTGAATTCGCTGGGTAAGCTAAATATTTTGGCAGGGTACCAGGGGCCATCTCTAGCTTAAATTTGCTCTTCTTTGTTATGCAGAGAAAGAAAGGGATAATTCAGCAGCGCATTATGCTTTCAATTGCAGAAAGCAGACTTTAAAAAGCAGCGTAGCTGAATGAAATGAATCATTAATTTAACAGCCGCATGAAAGAGCCAGGAACTTTGCTCAGAGAAAGGTGCGTTAGTATTTGAGTAAAAGCTAATTTATTATTCAGCGGTTTATTCAATTATATTAATTCCACATTAAGTGCATTCAAAGTAACCCTTTCATTTAACTTGAAATATTAAACTTAATAGCAAAATCAAACCATTGTCTTATTTTAAATTAATTTTCTCCTTCATCTGTGTTGCCCCTTTTTGGTGAAAGCCAACTGCACTGTTTCTTTAGTTCATGTAGAACTTTCTGTTGGTGAAGTGCTTTCAAATATTTGTGGGGAAATCTCTATCTGTAAAACACCAGAGCACTCATGTTGAGAATGAAAGAGTTAAATAATAATTGAAGCAGTTGAATATAGCGGAAATATTCACCTGATAAAATCTAGTGTTTTTTTAATAATTAAGGAAAGCTGTTTTTTAGTACATGATCACGTACAAATGCCATGGCAACATGCCAAGGAGAATTAAAGTGTGTCGGTAAGCTTAGATGGCTATAAAAATGTTTTCTCCAATTTGTTAGAAGAGCTCATTGGCAGAGCTGTTGTTTTTGATCAACATAAGATTTGTGAGTCATTATTTGGCCTTTAAAAAGTCCAACCAGAAGACTTTTCAAGTTGAGAGAGAGAAGAACTAGGGTCTGTATCAAATCAAAGTTAGATGCATAGCTGTTCAGCTCTCTTTGGATTTCTGAATCTGTCTTGGCTTTTTCCCCCTCTTTCTCTTCCTTGTGTAACACTGCTCTGGTGTTCTCATTCAGATAATACATACAGTACAGTAATTAGTGTAAGAATGGCCTACCTACCCCTGTACCCAAGTGATTATTGCACTGAAGCATAGAAATGGTGTTATAATTTAAGCACCATCTCTGGGGAAACAGCAGAGCTATAATGATTTTCACACGCTAGACTTGGGTCACGATGGAGCACAAGGGGTAATAATAATATTGAGGGTATCTTTGCAGATGTGATTGAAGTAATACCTTTTTGCATTTAGATTAATTGAAATTCAGTTCAGAATTTCTTTGGAAACCTGCTACCAACCCTCCTTTGTTGGAATGGTTGTTTTTGTGGATTTGTGGAACAAGTGTTTCATATCTGAATGGAGCCATGAAGGAAAGAAGGAAGAAAATATTTGGATTACCTTAATGCCTTTATCTCATGAGAGCAGTTCATGGGTGAAATTTCTCGCCCAAATTCTTCTCTAAAATAAAGGCCCCTCTGTATCTTATTAGTGAGAGTAATGTCGTTTTGTCCCTTTTTGTTATTAGTCATACTGAAAGCTCTTGAATTCAAGGAGTGAAAAGTTTATGTGAGGCTTTTGCTTGTTGGAACAGGAATGCGAATGTAATCCACTGAAGATACCTACTTTGAGAGGTACACAAATTTGAAATTCCTTATCCGTTCCTGAATTGTTTAAAATGCCATCTCATTGACCGCGGTAGCACTATTCTGCAGAGGTGAGGGTAGGGATTGTGCGAGATTTTTTTTCCAGAGCTGGTGAGCGGTGATGTAATCAAAACTGGCTTTTGGTTAAGAAAGAAAATGTACAGGCACAATAGCCTTGGAACCAGAATGGCTGACAGTTGTAATCCTTAACTATTGTGTGTTTTGTAAAATGAGACATCCTCACCATTAGAAATATAGAAGGGAGCAAACCAATGAAGGTTCTTACAAAACCTTGTTGATTGCTTGCCAGAAAGACATTGGTTTGATTCTCTTTTCAGTTTTTTTCAGTCTTTGCACTCTGCAACAGGTAGACCCTGCTGAACAGCATGTTTTCAAACCTTTAACCATTTGTTTACAGTAACTGCCCTCAAGAGCAAGACAACCAATCAGCCAACAGAATGTGAATAATAGCTCAAGCTGGAAGAGAATATGAACGGAATTGGAAAGCTAAACAATGTAAATATAAAGAAAATGAGAAATATAGAATCGATATAACCAGTAACCATGAAGAACTTGTTTTAGAAGCACCAGGTCTAGATCGGAAGGGAAACCTTTGAAGTTGTGTTTACAAAACTGTTTCAGAAAAAGGAAGTTTGTCTCTTTTTATCTCTGCATCAGCTCTGATATATGCAAAATATAACAGCCTTAATAAACATGCTGCTTGTTTTAATTCTGCACATATGCTGCAGTGTCCACTGATGGAGCACAGAAATGATGTGCTGCTGAAAGGAGGCTGTAAAGACTGGACAGACTGAAATGCAGCTTTACTGATAAGCTAGCTGGATGGGCACTTGTGTTCTAAACTAAAATGGACCCATACCTTTTGCCCAAGAGAAAAAGTCTTGAAACATGCTAACTCATCACAAACGCTTTGAAAGCGCATATTGCCCATTTTGTTTCATGTGCAGGGATTGATGGATGGGAGTGTCCTGTTTGCTTCCAGTAAGCTTGTTGTGGAGCAGAAAGAATGAACAGTGATTTATCTGTTAACTGTGTTTGGCATGAAGCCCTTTTGGACGTCAGTGCTCTGAAGGAACTGTGTTTGGCTCATGCATTTTATAGGCAGTATTCACTGACCCTTCTGTCTCAATGACATAATACTTAAAAATGCCATTGATATCAACGGTTCAAAACAAAGATCGACGTGGTTTCACTGACGTCTTTGCCTTGTTCTTCGGAATTGTGGCTTTCCTTGAATGTGTGTGCTGACACAGGCAAGTAGAGAACTGAAAAAGTAAAAACA